TTCTTGTGGATCTGTAAGCTAAAAATGCTTAATTAAAACAAAACCACTAAGAGGAAATTGCAGCAGGAAATCCTGCATTAAGCCAATATTGTAGTTCTCCATCAAGTGAAAATGTGGACTCTAAAACCCAAATTTTGCAGGCAGCATGATTCTGTGCATAAGACTGTGCATAAGAACGGTTTCTAATTAAAAAAATGCAAATTGTGTCAGGTTTTCTTTTTAAATATAACTGTATTCTGTAGTCCACTACTCTTGAAAAGGGGAAACAACTCCAGAATTTTAGAACAAGCCACAGAAGCTAGTCTGGGGCGTAATTTGGAGTCGTTTTTCATAAATCACATTTGTAGTTTATGCACAAAGTTTTAACTCTGGCTGTTCGGCTTTTACCGACTTGTCTACCTTCCAGATGTGCTGGACTACAACTCCCATCACTCCGCAATCTGCATATGGGCCTGCCAGCTGGGGATGATGGGGCTGGCAATCCAGCTTCATTTGAGAGCATCTGGTTCAAGTGGTCTTTATAAAGACCCTTTCCCCAGAACTCTGCTTTCCTGGGATAAATTCTCACTAAGGGTTAAATTGACCGAGACTTCTATTCCTAGGGTGTCTTGTAGGAAGCTGGGTTGTAAAATGGGTTTAGGTCACTTCCTGCTTTTAACACTATTTCCCCCCCCCCTTTTTTTTCCCTACCTTAGGAAAAAAAATTTCCACCCTGGGGGTCAATGGCTGGGCGGGATCTGGTAAGTTTCTTAAGTTTGAGGAGGGGGGAAAAAGAGAAATTCAAGAATGCGGAAGAGAACGGCTATGAAATCCGAGGGAACAAGACAGGATTAAGGCTTCAATGGATGGCCCTGTTTTAGTTTGAGCCCGGAGCCTTCCCATAAGGAAGCAGATGGGGCTGCAAGGAGGCAGCTGCTGATTGCACATAGAGCCCATCCCACACACACCACACACAAACAAATGCAAGACGAGGGAGGTCCTTGCAAAGAGAACCCCTGTTAAGTTATGTGCATCAATGTGTTTTCTTCATTGATGAATAGAGTAGAGTAGAGTAGAGTAGAGTAGAGTAGAGTAGAGTAGAGTAGAGTAGAGTAGAGAAGGCAGGACAAGAAGCAACGGATGGAAACTAATCAAGGAGAGAAGCAACCTAGAACTAAGGAGAAACTTCCTGATAGTTAGAACAATTAACCAGTGGAACAACCTGCCTCCAGAGGTGGTGAATGCTCCAACACTGGAACTTTTTAAGACGAGACTGGACTGCCATTTGTCAGAGCAGAGCAGAGCAGAACAGAACAGAACAGAACAGAACAGAATAGAATGAGACCTTGGAGGTCTTCTAGTCCAGCCCCCTGCTCAAACAAGAGAACCTATACCATCTCAGACAAGTGACTGTCCAGTCTCTTCTTAAAAACCTCCAGTGTTAGAGCATTCACAACTTCTGGACGCAACTTGCAATTGCTTTATATATTTGGTGCAGGTTGTTAGGGAGTCTGCTCTAATTACACAGGTAGGCCTCAGCTGAGGTAGGCCTCAACCGAGGCCAAAATTTACGTGGCTCAGTGAGACAGTTGTGAGTTTTGCCCTATTTTAAGACCTTTCTTGCCAGAGTTGTTAACTGAATCACTACTGTTGTTAAATTAGCAACACAGTTGTTCATTGAATCTGGCTCCCCCCCTGGACTTCGCTGGTCAGAACGTCGCAAAAGGGGATGACATGACACCCCCCCTCCCCTGGACACTGCGACCATCATTAATATAAACCAATTGCCAAGCCTCCAAATGTTGATCATGTGACTGTGGGGGGGTTGCTGCAACGGTTGTAAGTATGAAAAACGGTCATAAAGTCACTTTTTTCAGTGCCGTTGTAACTTTGAACGGCTACTAAACAAACGGGTTGTAAGACGAGGAGTAGCTGTACAATGGACAGTATCCTCGGTGGGGGGTTTGTGAGCCTGCAAGGGATTGATAGAGACCTGAACAACCGTCTCCCATTTGTTTTGTTTTTTTTATTCTGATGGGCTGGAAGAAGCGATAGGAACGGCCTCTACTCATTGTCTCGCCTGCCTCCATTTTAATTCCCAGTCACTTAAGGTGACCAAGTCAGTGCCTAAAGCAGCGTTTCTCAAACCTTGGCCACCTGGGCAAATGGGCCCTGAATTTTGGTTGCTAAGCAAGACAGTTATTAAATGAATTTTGTCCCGTTTTACGATCTTTCTTGCCACAGCTGTTAAGTGAATCATTGCAGTCGTTAAGCTAGTACAGAGGTCTTCAAACTTGGCCCTTTTATGACTTGTGGACTTCCAACTCCCAGAATTCCTCAGCCAGCGTGCCTGGCTGAGGAATTCTGGGAGTTGAAGTCTATGAGTCATAAAAGGGCCAAGTTTGAGTACCCCTGCGCTAGATTAACAAATAACCCAGGGCAGAGCTAAAACAGGTAGTATTCAGAGACCAGGATAGATTTCTCTAAAGCAGGGGTAGGCCACCTTGGCTCTTTTATGACTCATGGACTTCAACTCCCAGAATTCCTGAGCCAGCATGGCTCAGCTTGGAAACCTCTCCCTTTTCCCTCAGCACGGCTGGCTCAGGAATTCTGGGAGTTGAAGTCCACGAGTCATAAAAGAGCCAAGGCTGCCTACCCCTGCTCTAAAGAGTGCAATTTAATAGGTCACAGACACCATTTCCTGTGCACAAAAAATGTAAATATTGTAAACCGCCCAGGGACTGCTGCAAAGCACTATGGGGCAGCATGAAAGTCTACATCAGGGGTCTTCAAACTTGGCCCTTTTATGACTTGTGGACTTCCAACTCCCAGAATTCGTCAGCCAGCGTGCCTGGCTGAGGAATTCTGGGAGTTGAAGTCCACGAGTCATAAAAGGGTCAAGTTTGAAGACCCTTGAGCTAGTAGCAATAGCCCTTAGACCAGTGTTTCTCAGCCTTGGCAACTTTATGATGTGTGGACTTCAACTCCCAAAATTCTCCAGTTAGCAATGCTGGAGAATTCTGGGAGTTGAAGTCCACACATCGTAAAGTTGCCAAGATTGAGAAACACTGCCTTAGATTTACATACCGCTTCACAGTGCTTTTACACCCATCTCTAAGCGGTTTACAGAGTCAGCCTATTGCCCCCAGCAATCTGGGTCCTCATTTTATCGACCTCGGAAGGATGGAAGGCTAAATCAACCTTGAGCCAGTCAGGAACCCGGTTGTCAGGTCCCCAAATCCTTATAGTTTTCCCTGCATATGTGCTCTTGTTTGGGGCCTGCCATTCTGCTGGGGGGTGGATATTTGCTTTCGCTTGGGATAACTTTCGCTTTCTACTTTTCCTCTCCCGCCTCTGTCCACTTGAGAAAGGAATGTGCCTCCCTTATCAGGGAGACAGCTATGGAGAAAAGAAAGCTGGAGAAGACCTTGAGATGCGCGCCAACTGTGCCAGTTACCCAAACATCGTGCCATCTGTGGATTGGCTGAATTTCAAATGGACACTGTGATTTTGGTGGGAGGAGGAAGATTGCCTGTTTAACTATATCATTCAAGCAGGATTTTCCCCAGATCTCGCCTTGACTTCCCTACTGTCACTAACCCCTATGTGCTGGACCAGTATGTAACCCTGGCCAGAGCATATGTTTAGCTTAGGAATTAAGCACTGTGTTAGAGCATTTAGCATTTAAAGGGTTAAATGCTGTCTCCTTAAGAGATGGCCTCTGGGAAATGTAGTCTAGTTGTTAGTCCTATATGTTATCTAGTCAGTGGGAGGGGCTTCAAAGTTTATTACAAGATGTCCTGGCTATGTACCAAGGTGGTAAAATCCTTTGTCTATCAAGCATCGTGCAGGCATCGATCAGCATCCGTATCCATGCCTAGCTGAGATGGGGAATTATCCCTTTTTTTACTTTTCTGGAACCGTGAACTGAGATGCGTTATAGTTCTGATCCAGATAGCATAAACTCTACGAGAATGGACAGATATGAATATGACCGGATGTATCTACTGCAGTGGTTCTCAACCTTTTTAATGCCGCGACCCCAACCGGTTGTAAGTTGAGGACTAAACCGGTCGTAAGTCGAGGACTAAACCGGTCGTAAGTCAAGGACTACCCAACCGGTCGTAAGTCGAGGACTTTCCCTGCCCAGGAGCGCCACGCATGCGTGGTTCCGCCCCCTGCGCTGGCCGAGGCGTAGCTGGCAAGCGGCAGAGATGGAGCAGGCCGACCACCAGCCCAAGGGAGGTAAGGCACCCGCCGGAAAAGGGGAAAAAATGGCGGACAAAAAAAATGGCGGACAGCCTTGCTTGGCGACCCCCATGAAATGGTTGATTGATCCCAAACGGGGTCCCGACCCACAGGTTGAGAATCACTGATCTACTGCAAAGTAAGTCTCTGCTTAGGATTCCTGGAGAATCAATGTTTGTTTAAAACCATTTTCGTGGAGTTTATGCTATCTGGATCAGAACTGTAACGCATCTCAGTTCACGGTTGCAGAAAACCCCAATAAAAGTTCCTTTTGAGACAATGCCTGTTTCAAGAGGTCTGCTTTCTTGGTTGGTTAGCTGTTAAGTGAATCTAGCTTCCCCATTGATTTTGCTTCTCAGAAGGTCGTAAAAGATGATCGCATGACGCCGGGACGCTGCAGCCGTCATAAATATGAGTCAGTTGCCAAGCTTCTGAATGTTTTTCACAAGACTATGGGGATCAGTGTTAAAAACGGTCATCACTCACTTCTTTCAGTTCTGTTGTAACTTCGGGATCATCATTAAATGAACGGTTGTAATTTGAGGACTACCTGTACAAGACTAGCTTTTTTGTGTCAAGTTACTATGGTATTTTTTCCCCTCTTTCAGGTAAGGAAAGAACTTCTGGCTGGCTGGAATCAACCAGTCTTCCCTCTTTAGTGACCGGATCTTCCATCTGGTGTTACCAAGCAACCGACAATTGATATTGCAGAATCAGGAACTTTCATCTCAGCATCTCGTCTCTCCAAATTCCAGCTGTGTTGGGTCCTGAAGATGCGGACCAAGCGAGGTCCAGAGCTGAAGGACACGCTGAAACAGGAAGAGGAAACGTGTGAACGAGATGTAGCAAGGCCCCAAACAGCCCCCCAGGTCTCTCTTGCCTTCCAGGCTGGGAATAGCAGGAAACACCAGGGAAGAAAGAGAGCAGCCATCTTGGATGGGGAGAATGGCGTGCACTTGGATACAACCCAGGATCCGATGCAAAACCAGAAGCTTCTAGAAGACTTCTTACTGGGGAATGTAGAAGATCAGGTGAGCCTGGGAGCGCGTAGCAATTTCAAGGAGGGATCTGCTGTTTCAGGAGGAAGGTGGAATTACTAAGAAAGCCTAGCTCAGGAGTAGGCAACCTTGGCTCTTTTATGACTCGTGGACTTCAACTCCCAGAATTCCTGAGCCAGCTATACTCAGCTTGGAAACCTCTCCCTTTCCCCTCAGCATGGCTGGCTCAGGAATTCTGGGAGTTGAAGTCTTCTACTCTCTTGATGGCATGTATATACTCTAATCCAGGGGTAGGCAACCTTGGCTCTTTTACGACTCGTGGACTTCAACTCCCAGAATTCCTGAGCCAGCATGGCTCAGCTTGGGAACCTCTCCCTTTCCCCTCAGCATGGCTGGCTCAGGAATTCTGGGAGTTGAAGTCCATGAGTCATAAAAGAGCCAAGGTGGCCTACCCCTGGCCTAGCCAGATCTCATAACTCTGGCTTTAAACTGGCATTTCTAAAACGGAGGAGATCAGCTGGGCCCCTCCCCTGGAGTTTATGGATCTCAGATCTGACGCCTACAGCTCCAACAAAAAGTCAGGATTAATCCGGTGGCACCTTTCCTGACTAACACATTTTTATTAACAGGCAGAAGCTTTTGTGAGTGGGCTAAAGGTCAGGAAAGCTTACGTCCTGTAATACAATCGCGTTGGAAAAGGTACTTCCGGACTTCTCCTGAAATACCAAGAAAGGAGAATATTTGTAGCTCAGGGTTGAAATGAGGGCATCCTTGGTGTCCTCTGAGCTTGGTTGTTCTCTTGCAGACGTTTCATTACCCAACTAGGTAACGTCATCAATGCTAGTTTGGGTAATGAATCTTCTTCAGGAAAACAATCGTGCTCAGAGAGCACCAAGGTTACCCCTCTTCTCCTGAGGTTTTGTTACACTAGTCCAGGGATAGGCAACCGTGGCTCTTTTATGACTGGTGGACTTCAACTCCCAGAATTCCTGAGCCAGCATGGCTGAGCTTGGAAACCTCTCCCTTTCCCCTCAGCATGGCTGACTCAGGAATTCTGGGAGTTGAAGTCCACGAGTCATAAAAGAGCCAAGGTTGCCTACCCCTGGGCTAGATGACCTACAACAGGGGTCTTCAAACTTGGCCCTTTTATGACTTGCGGACTTCAACTCCCAGAATTCCTGAGCCAACCTGGCTCAGCTTGGAATCCTCTCCCTTTCCCCTCAGCTGGCTCAGGAATTCTGGGAGTTGAAGTCCACGAGTCATAAAAGAGCCAAGGTTGCCCACCCATGCACTCGTCTGTGTTTCTCAATCTCAGCACTTTTTAGGATGAGTGGACTTCAACTCCCAGAATCCCCCAGTGGGTTTGCCCAATGGGAAAGAACCGGCGGTTAAGTCAGGGTTGGTTCAGGCTTCCTTGGCAGGGCTTGCTGGGATTTCCTGGGGCCGAGGCTCGCCGTTGTGCTGCTTGGGTTGTGGTGACTTCCAGGGGCTGCTGGGGCTTCACACAACTCTGTAGCTCAGAAGCTTCTTGCGTTTCCACAGCTGCAGAAGGCCCTGAGCCACAGCATGGCAAGCAGCCCTAGATGGAGATTCTCAGTCCTCCTTTCCAACTATCCTACACATCCCATCACCTTCTTTTTTTTTTGTGTAGGATAGTTGGAAAGGAGGAAGGAGGAAGGAGGAGAGAGGTGTGGGTAGGAGGGGAGGAAGGAAGAGGGAAGGTAGGAAGGTTGAAGGAGTGAGGGTGGATGCAGGGGGGTGGGGACCGCCAATCATTTCTGAAAATATATTGACTAGGTTTTCCTTTTTGTTTTTTAATGAAATGCACCACATTTGTATTATTTGTTTATATGTTTATTTGAAAATTAATAAAATTTGCAAAACCGAGATTCTCAGTCCTCCGGATCATGGTGGTCCCAGAGGTGCTTTTTTCACGAGGCAACTGGACTTTCTTGTTTTTCTTTGAAGACGTTTCGCTTCTCATCCAAGAAGCTTCTTCAGCTCTGACTGGATGGACAAAAGCCGCTCTTTTGAAGACAGCAAAGTCCACATTTTGGACAGAGAGGACCGCTGGTTTGAAAGAGGGGTCAAAGAGGCCCTCTGTGTCAAAACTGAGCAGCCCTCTCTCCACCGGGATGGGGGAAAACGACATCATCTATCTCAGTGATGGCGAACCTTTTAGAGACCGAGTGCCCAAACTGCAACCCAAAACCCACGTATGCATCATTGGGTGCCGGGTGGGTGTGGCCCATTGGCTGGGTGTGGCCCATTGGCTGGGCGTGGCTGTGGTGGTAACGGCAGACTGGGTGGGACTAAAAAGTTCAATCAATCAATTCCAACTTTGCAAGATCTTTTTTTTTCCCACGAGAAGTTAAAATTGACTGATTGAATGAACCTTTTTTTTTTTTTTTTGCACACGGCGGCCGAGGCCTAAAGCGAAAAGGTTTTATAAAACCCAGCTGAAGGCCTAGGACTGGGGCGACAGCGCGCGCCCCCACAGAGAGGGCTCTGAGTGCCGCCTCTGGCACCCGTGCCATAGGTTCGCCACCACTGATCTATCTCCAGTCTACAACACAATCCTTTCAACAGTTCCAAGAAGGCTCCACACCCATTTGCACCACTCAGGTGACTCTGAGGAGACAGATAAACCTCCAAGTGGCCTACACTTGACTCTCTAAAAGAAGGCAAATGACCAGCTCTCTGCAAGGAGTATAAATCCTTCCATCTCCCCAGCATCCAGTCAGAGCTGAAGAAGCTTCTTGGATGAGAAGCGAAAAACCTTCAAAGAAAAACAAGAAAGTCCAGTTGCCTCTTGAAAAAGCACCTTTGGGACAGCCCTAAAGCTGTGCAATTGGGGGGTTACTTGTCACCTTCTAAGGAGGGGTGAAGAGCAGTCAAAAGACTAGAGACTGAGGGAAGATCGGTGGGTAAGGAAGAGTTGGAGGGGAAGTCTCTTATCTTACTGAGGCTCAGGGCTGGGAGGAAGTAAGCCTGGAATTAATTAATTTGTTTTTTTGTTTGCAAAATGTATTGGCCATCTCTCTTACCACAAGATAACTCTGGGGATGGCTTGGATTAGGGCAGTGTTTCTCAACCTTGACAATTTTAAGGCATGTGGACTTCAACTCCCAGAATTCCACAGCCAGCAATGCTGGCTGTGGAATTCTGGGAGTTGAAGTCCACATGCCTTAAAATTGTCAAGGTTGAGAAACACTGGATTAGGGTGAGGCTTTGGATAATGGCCGGTGAACTTCACTTAATGATGGCAAGGTGGAGTGCTCCGATTGCCGTCACTAAGGGATGTGGTCCCATGCCTTCTTGCTTTATGACCGCAAGAGAAATTCTGATATCGATCCTCATCCTAAGTCAAGGACTATCTATAATTAAACCACTTTCTCCAACTTGGTGGTTTGACCTGGGCTGGCCTACTCCTCCCCTCACCCATAGCCAGTCTACGCCTTGAGGACTTGTAATGCCCCCTATCTGGAGGAGAGCCGTTTAGGGAAGGGAGGGGCTCTCCGAATCGTGTGGCTCTAAGGCAGGGATCTTCAAACGAGGCCCTTTTATGACTTGTGGACTTCAACTCCCAGAATTCCTCAGCCAGGCACGCGTGCCTGGCTGAGGAATTCTGGGAGTTGAAGTCCACAAGTCATCAAAGGGCCACGTTTGAAGACCCCTGCTCTAAGGGATGTTCTCTCCCCTCCATCCCAGGGACCTGTGACCTTTGAAGAAGTGGCGGTGCGCTTCAGCAAGGGCGAATGGGGCATGCTGGATCCAGACCAGAGGGCTCTCTACCGGGAAGTCATGGTGGAAAACTACGGGACCGTGGTCTCTTTGGGTAAGAGTCTGTTTGATCCTCTGGGGGAGGGAAGCTTCCTTTGTCGTCGTAAAGGATGAGGTTCTCCATGCAAAGCCAAACAGAAGAACAAGAAAGCAACAGGGTGGCTTATGATAAATATCATGGCATATCATAAATATCATGGCATAAATATCATGGTATGTCATAAATATCAGCCAGCTGCCAAAAAAAGCCAAGGCAATCCTAGGCTGCCTTAACAGAGGGATAGAATCAAGATCACATGAAGTGTTAATACCACTTTACAATGCCTTGGTAAGGCCACACATGGAATACTGCATCCAGTTTTGGTCACCACGATGTAAAAAAAGATGTTGAGACTCTAGAAACAGTACAGAGAAGAGCAACAAAGATGATCAGGGGGCCGGAGGCTAAAACATATAAGGAACGGTTGGTGGAATTGGGTATGTCTAGTTTAACGAAGAGAAGGGTGAGGGGGGGACAGGATAGCCGTGTTCCAGTATCTCAGGGGCTGCCCCAAAGAAGAGGGAGTCAAGCTATTTTCCAAAGCACCTGAAGGCAGGACAAGAAGCAACGGGTGGAAACTAATCAAGGAGAGAAGTAACCTAGAACTAAGGAGAAACTTCCTGACAGAACAATTAACCAGTGGAACAACCTGCCTCCAGAAACGGTGAATGCTCCAACACTGGAAGTTTTTAAGAAGAGACTGGACAGCCATTTGTCTGAAATGGTATAGGGTTTCCTGCCTGAGCAGGGGGTTGGACTAAATGACCTCCAAGGTCCCTTCCAACATCATCATCATCATCATCATTATTGTTATTGTTGTTGTTGTTGTTATTATTATTATTATTATCATCACTACTACTACTACTACTACTACTACTACTACTACTACTACTACTACTACTACTACAACAACAACAACAAGAAAATCCAGTTGCCTCTTGAAAAAGCACCTTTGGGACAACCACGACCTGGATGACTGAGAACCTCTATAGACATATATGAAAACTCAAATCATCCAGGCCAAAAGTATCTAAAAAAACGTTAAGTCGTGTGACTGGACCAAAGTTTATTTACAGATTTTCATGATTCTTCATATTTATCTGTTCATCTTATTTGGTCACTTAAGAGAAGAGCTAGAATATTTATATGGAAAATAGGAGAAGAGCGTACGTCACTGTGATGGAGCATGCAAGAGACCCTTAGTGAGTGGAGCTAAACCAGGGCTAGGCAACCTTGGCTCTTTTATGACTCGTGGACTTCAACTCCCAGAATTCCTGAGCCAGCCATGCTGAGGGGAAAGAGAGAGGTTTCCAAGCTGAGCCGTGCTGGCTCAGGAATTCTGGGAGTTGAAGTCCACGAGTCATAAAAGAGCCAAGGTGGCCTACCTCTGAGCTAAACCGTTAAGGAAGGAAAGCAGGCGAGATATTTGTTTAGTGGGTTTTGCCCCATTTTACGACCTTTCCTGCCTCCGTGGTTAAGCGAACCCCTGCAGTTGTTAAGCTAGGAAACTTGTCAGAAGGCCGCAAAAGGGGGAAATCAGGTGAACCTGGCAGGCTGCGGGCGTCAGAAATGTGAGTCGGTCACCAAGCGTTTTAATTTTGGTCACATCGCCACGGAGGCGCGGCAATGGCCGTAAGCCTGAAAAATGGCCCTAAATCGCTTTTTTTTTTTACCGCCGTCGTAACTTCACAAAATGAACTGTCATAAGTCGGGGACTACCTGTGTTGGGGAAAGGATCTGGCTGGAAATCCTGCTTCTCCCTAATTTTTTCCCTTGGGCTTGATTCCAGCAGGTGACACCTGGGGGAGTGAGGGCAAGAAGAGCCCGGTTGGGGTGACGGCCAGCGAAGAAGATCCGGGCAAAGAAGCGGAAGACGATCTGTGGAATCAGAAGGGGGAGAAAGAAGAAGAAGAAGAGAATCAAACGACCGAGACTGGCCCAAAAGAAACAGCAGGTATTGAACGAAGAAAGATTTTGTTTAGGATTTATATTGTGCCTTTCGTGGGTGTGGGATTTCTGGCCCGCAGTAGCATCAGATCCTCTCTCCTGGCTGGTGCGCTAGTGCTCGAGGCCCTCTCTTGAAATGAAACACAGGGAGTCATGGGAAAGAAGGGGGAGAAAAGCAGAAAAATCAAAATGTTAGGCTGTCTGTTACAGCCCAGAGATTTCTCCTCAGTTCCTATCTTTTTTTTGTGCTATCCTGTGCACAATGGAGAATTTTGCAGAACACAGCAATAGCAGTAGCCCTTAGACCAGTTGTGGCGAACCTATGGCACGCGTGCCAGAGGCGGCACTCAGAGCCCTCTCTGTGGGCACGCTTGCCACGCCCCGGACATGGCAACTGTCTCTCATCAACCAGCCGCCCGCTAACTCGCCGAGGTCCCTCGTGGCCAGATGCATCCCAACATGGCTGGTTTCCCTCCCCCTTCCCATCCCTCCTGGCCTCGCATACTCTCCTTTTCCCGGGCACAACCCACTGCATCGCCTCCTCAGCTGTCGGCCGTCTGTCCAGCTCAGAGGCGGCTTCTCTGAACTTCTGGTGGCGGGCTGCGGAGCCCCAGAGTGTGCCAGTTGAGGGGCCGGCAGGCTATGGATGCTGATGGACACTGTTGGCCCCCATGCGCTCGCTGGCCTCTGTGTGCGGGGGCCAATGGTGGCAGGGAGCAGCTGCCCCGGCCCCTGCCTCGCCTTGCCCTGCGACAATGGCACCCCAGCCCTGCCTCACCTTGCCTCGCCTCACCCCACAGGACGAGACTCCTGCCCACCACCCCACCTGCCAGAGACCCCCTGGATCTCCCCGAACCCTGCCCGGCCCCCACAGGCATCCCTCTCCATGAGCAACATAAAGGTGATCACGCCCACCTTGGCCACACCCACCTAGTCTGCCATGACCACCACAGCCCACACCCACCCAGTGGGCCACGCCCACCTGGCACCCGGTGATAAATAAGTGGGTTTGGGGTTGCAGTTTGGGCACCCGGTCTCTAAAAGGTTCGCCATCACTGCCTTAGACTTATATACCGCTTCACAGTGCTTTACAGCCCTCTGTAAGCAGTTTATAGAGTCAGCATATTTGCCACCAACAATCTGGGTCCTCGTTTTACCGACTTCGGAAGGATGGAAGGCTGAGTCAACATTGAGCCGGTGTCAGAATCCAATTATATTTCATCTCTAGTTATGGAAAACCCCATTTCTGCCCTCTCTGGATTCTGTCATACGATGAAGGGGAAGGGGGGTGAACAAAGGGGTTTTATGGCCCTCACTTCCTTCGGTACAACTTCAAAGGGACTGAATGTGGATACCACCAAAAGGACTAATCATAACAATGGGGCTATTACCTTTCATCTACTCTCCTTTGAAGTGTCCCTTCCACCGGCAGTGAGGAAAAAGGGGGTGGAAATGTAACGCCTGGGATTGTCGCTGGAAGGATGGTGGGGTGGGGGGGCGGCTTGGGACCACTTAAAACCTTGAATGGGAGGGCTTGTGCCCCAGGTCCTGTCTAGAACGCCTGCAACCATTTTCTCTTAATAAAGATGCCTGTTGGAAGAAATATTCCAAGAGTTCTGTATTCTTAAGGTGCAAAGTGGGGTGGGTCCTAACAGCCAGTTAGGATCGAACTCCTGGCTGTGGGCAGAGTTAATTTGCAGTACTGCATTCTAACTATTACACCACCAGATAACATGAGATAACATGAGATAAGATAAGATAACATAACATAACATAACATGCACATTCTTTTGTGGTGCTTTGCTTGCACTTCAGCTGTTGTTTTGTTTGTTTGTTTTAATCCTGGACGAATGGGCTTTTTTTTTTCTCCTTTTAAACCAGAGAAACTTGTTAAAATAAGCAACTTTGAAAAATTGTTTCGGGAAATGAGAACCGCTGGTTTACATCTTGGAAAGAGCTAAAGCAGAGGTCCCCAACCCTTTGGGCACCAGGGACCGTTTCTGTGGAGAAAGATTTTTCCACGGACCAGAGAGTGTGTGTGTTTTTGTGTGCTGCCTGCATCCCACGGACGGGGCCTTGCTTGTTTGTGCAGACCGGTTGCTGGTATGCCATGGCCCAGTACCGGTCCACGGATTGTGTTGGGGACCCCTGAGCTAAAGTAGTAAGTTGGTTTTTTTCAACATTCCCTCTCTCTTGCTTTTCTCTGTGGCTGAAAGAGGACAAGACAGTTGCTGGAGCCGACTCTGAGACCGCTGGAGATCTCATGTCGAAGGAGCCCCCGCAGGCATTGCCAGGAAAATCACAAGGAAAGCTGTCTTTTGTGATGGGGACGACGGGCGAAAGTGAGTATCCACCAAAATGGGGAGACTGCTCCCCACCCTCCTGGCCCCGTCAGCAAGAATGCCTGCTCCAGAGAGGTCATTTTGGCACCAGAAAAAGCCATTTTTACGTACCCAAAGCAGAGTTCCCCAAGGATCATCGGTTAATTGATGTCTTTCTTGAAATTATATAAAAAAATGTTGAGATTTTAGAAAGAGTACAGAGAAGAGCAATTAAGATGATTAGGGGCCGGGAGGTTAAAACATATGAAGAACGGTTTCTGGAATTGGGTATGTCTAGTTTAATGAAGAAAAGGACCATGGTGGGACATGATAGCAGTGTTCCAATATTTGAGGGGCTGCCATAAAGAGGAGGGGGGCAATCTTATTTTCCAAAGCACCAGAAGGAAAGAAAGAAGCAACGGATGGAAATTAATCAAGGAGAGAAGCAACCTAGAACTAAGGAGAAATTTCCTGACAGTGAGAACAATTAACCAGGGGAACGGTTTGCCTTCAGAAGTTGTGGGTGTTTCATCTCTGGAGGTTTTTAAGAAAAGACTGGACAGTCCACTGTCTGAAATGGTATAGGGCAGACATGTCAAACACAAGGCCCGGGGGCCGGATGCAGCCCACAAAGTGGTTTCATGTGGCCCGTGAAGACATCTGGAAACAGTGAGGGAACGGCCCCCGTTGCCATGGCCCTGGCCCAGGCTGGCCAGGAGCCAATGTACAATTTGGTGGTGGCCATCTATGCTGAAACGCATTCAGTCTTAGCTCCACAAGGCTGTCTGGAAACAGCGAGGAACCAGCCCCTGCCGCGTCGGCCCCGTCTCCTGGGTGCATGCCGGGGAGGTGTCACCCTTTGTGAGGAATGAAGAAATGGACCATGCCTTGGCCCTTGCCCCGGTCCCACCCCCTTCTGCCAGAGACCCTCAGATCTGCCCCACTCCTGCCCAGGCCCCCACAGGCACCCTTGACGTGAACGATGTAGAGCTGGCCATGCCCACCCAGTAGGCCACACCCACTCCATCCACGCCCACCCAGTAGACCGCACCCCCCCCTGGCCACACACACACACAGAGCAACCACAATGCTGATGCGGCCCTCAATGAAATTGAGTTTGACACCCCTGGTATAGGGTCTCCTTCTTGAGCAGGGGGCTAGACTAGAAGACCTCCAAGGTCCCATCCAACTGTTAAAAGTTCTGCAAAATTTCATAGGCTTCCTTTTAAGGCTTTAAGCATGACTGTTCGTTTAGTGACTGTTTGAAGGGATGACAGGGTTGAAATAAGCGACTTATAACCAGTCCTCAGATCTATGACCCTTACAGCACCCCCCCCACACACACACACAGTCACGTGATCGCCATTTGCAACCTTTCCAGACAAGTTCTGACAAGCAAAGTCAATGGAGAAGCCAGGAGGGAAGGTCCCGAGTCATAGTCACGGGGCGTCTTGTTTAATAACCGTAGTGATTTGCTCTAACTGTAGCAGAAAAGGTCATAAAATGGAGCGGGATGACGTGACACCTCACCTAACCACTGCAGCGCTTAATGAATTATTGATGTTGTAAATCAAGGACTATCTCTATTTTTTTTTTAAAAAAAAAAAAATGTTTTATACGTTTACGGATTGCCCTTTTTTATTTATTTCTGAGTTGCCTTATTCGGTGATTGGGCACTCTTTCATGTTTTACCTGAACAGGGACAATATTTTTCTCAAACAGCATCCCTTAACTAGATGCATTCTCAGTAAGTTGAGAATGTATCTCCCTATCCCTTGTTTTGCTTTAATATTTCAAAGAGAAAAAAAATCCATTTTCAGCTCCTCAGTGGCCACATTGATACATCTGGCAAACCTGTTTGATTTTGTCCCTTTGTAATACAGAATTTGTCTTCTTTTCTTTCTTTGTTTCTTTCTTTCTTTCTTTCTTTCTTTCTTTTTTTCTTTCTTTTTTCTTTTTCTCCCTCTTTCTCTCTCTTTCTCTTTCTGTCTTTTTTTCTTTGTCTCTCTGCTTCTCTTTTTTCTCTTTTTCTTTCTCTTTCCTTTTCTCTGTCTCTTTCTCTTTCTGTCTGTCTGCTTGTCTCTCCATTTCTCTTTCTCTTTTTCCCTTTCCCTTCTCTTTTTCTTTCTCTCTTTTTCTTTCTTTCTTTCTTTCTTTCTTTCTTTCTTTCTTTCTTTCTTTTTCTTTTTTCTTTCTTTCTTTCTCTCTTTTTCTCCCTCTTTCTCTGTCTCTTTTTCTTTTTGTCTCTTTTTCTTTATCTCTCTGCTTCTCTTTTTTTCTTTTCTCCCTTTCTCTTTTTCTTTCTCTTTCCTTCTCTGTCTCTTCCTGTCTGGCTGCTTGTCTCTTTCTCCATTTCTCTTTTTCCCTTTCCCTTTCTCTTTTTCTTTCTGTCTCTCTTTTTCTTTCTTTCTTTCTTTCTTTCTTTCTTTCTTTCTTTCTTTCTCTTTGTCTTTTTTCTTTGTCTCTGCTTCTCTTTCTTTCTCTCTCTTTTTCTCTCTCTTTCTCTGTCTCTTTTTTTTTCTGTCTTTCTTTCTTTGTCTCTCTGCTTCTCTCTTTCTTTTTTCTCCCTTTCTCTTTCTCTTTCCTTCTCTCTGTTTCTTTCTCTTTCTGTCTGTCTGCTTGTCTTTTTCTCCATTTCTTTTTCTCCCTTTCTCTTTTTCTCTCTCTTTTTCTTTCTTTCTCTTTCTTTCTCTCTTTCTCTCTTTTTCTCCCTCTTTCTCTGTTTCTTTTTCTTTCTGTCTTTTTTTCTTTCTCTCTCTGCTTCTTTCTTTTTTCTCTTTTTCTTTCTTTCATCTCTCTCTCTTTCTCTTTCTGTCTGCTCTTTTTCCATTTCTCTTTCTTTCTTTCTTTCTTTCCTTCTTTCCTTCTTTCTTTCTCTTTCTTTTTTCTTTGTCTCTCTACTTCTCTTTCTTGTTTCTCTTTTTCTCCCTTCTCTTTTTCTTTCTCTTTCTTTCTCTCTGTCTCTTTCTGTCTGTCTACTTCTCTCTTTCTCTTTTTCCTTTTTCCTTTCTCTTTTTCTTTCTCTCCTTCTGTTTCTTTCTTTCTTTCTTTCTCCATTTTTTCTCTGTCTTCCTCTTTGCTCCTCTCTCTCTCTCTCTCTTCCCTTTCTCTTTCTCTCTCTCTCTCCAACTAGGTGACCTCGGTGAAAGCGGAAGTGAATGGGAGCCCTACGGGCTGCTGTCAGAAGACACGGAGGACGAAGACGCGGCCAGCCATTTTGGGAACCTCAAAGAGCCGGGAAAGAAGAAAGAAAGCCAGCCCGAAGAGCGGCCGAATAAAGGCAGCTCCCAGGGAAGCGACCACAGCGCCGTGCTGGCCCAGCCGAAGACCTACAAGGGCAAGAGGAAGAACCAGTGCAAAGTGTGCGGGAAAAGCTTCACCCGGAAGGCCAGCCTGAAAGTCCACCAGCGGATCCACACGGGCGAGAAGCCCTACAAATGCACCGTCTGCACCAAGGGCTTTTGCGACAAGACCAGCTTCCTCCGCCACCAGAGGATCCACACCGGGGAGAAGCCCTACAAGTGCCCCGAGTGCGGGAAGAGCTTCAATCGGACCACCAACCTGATCACCCATCAGAAGACCCACGTGGAGAGCCGGGAGAAGACCTTCCACTGCTCCAGCTGCAGCAAGAGCTTCTACAACAAGTACAGCCTGAAGACCCACTGGCGGAGCCACACGGGGGAGAAGCCCTACAAGTGCTCCAGCTGCAGCAAGAGCTTCTGCGATAAGTCCAACCTGGAGGCCCACTGGCGCGTGCACACCGGGGAGCGGCCCTTCGAGTGCTCGGAGTGCGGGAAGAGCTTCAGCGACCGCCGGACCCTCCTCCGCCACCAGAGGATCCACACGGGGGAAAAGCCCTACAAATGCACCGAGTGCGGGAAGAGCTTCAACGACCTGGCCACGCTCCTCCGGCACCAGAAAATCCACACGGGAGAGAAGCCCTACCGGTGCACCGAGTGCGGGAAGAGCTTCAACCAGAGCTCCCACCTCATCCGGCACCAGAACACGCACGACGCCAAGCGCCACAAGACCTTGGAAGCCAAGGGCGGGGCGAAGGCCTCCGTCGGGACCAATATCTTCTTGGATATCGGGAGCTTTGCCCAGGGGAGCTATTACCAGTACGCTCACCCCGCCGAGCCGTTTCCCTGGCCCCTTTCGACATACACGTCTCCCGCTGAGGCTGGAGAGGCAGGCATGCCGAACCTGTGGACTATTCAGGAGACCTCGGTGGGCGAGCAGGCCATCCTGGTGATGAAGGAATTCACAGAGGACAGGACGTTAGCCCTGTGAGGGTTCGGAATGGAGGGGAAGAAAAAACACGAAACACATATTTTTTTTTAATTTTCAAGGACGGGTTTATTGATCCGAAATCGCAAAGCAGGGATTTTTATTTTTTATCTTTTTGGAAAGAGACCAGTTTCTTTCAGTTCCACAAAGACAAGCATGACATCCCTGAACGTCTTCATCCTTTCGGCTTGAGGCAGTGATTGGAGATATATATATATATATATTTCTTTCTTTCTACAAAGACTCAATTTAGGGCAGACATGTCAAACACAAGGCCCGGGGGCCGGATGCGGCCTGCGAAGTGGTTTCATGTGGCCCGCGAAGCCGTCCTGGAAACAGTGAGGGAACGGCCCCCGCTACCTTGACCCTGGCCCAGGCCGGCCGGGAGCCAATGTACAATTTTGTGGTGGCCATCTAGGCTGAAACGCATTCAGTCTTAGCTCCACAAGGCCGTCCGGAAACAGCGAGGAACCAGCCCCTGCCGTGTCGGTCCCGTCTCCTGGGTGCATGCTGGGGAGGTGTCACCCTTTGTGAGGAATGAAGAAATGCACCATGCCTTGGCGCTTGCCCCAGTCCCACCCCTTTCTGCCAGAGACCCTCAGATCTGTCCCACTCCTGCCCAGGCCCCCACAGGCACCCTTGACACGAACGATGTAGAGCTGGCCATGCCCACCCAGTAGGCCACACCCACTCCATCCACCCCCACCCAGTAGGCCGCACCCACCCTGGCCACATACCCCCCCCCGAGGGCAACCGCAATGCTGATGCGGCCCTCAATGAAATTGAGTTTGACACCCCTGATTTAGGGAGTAAACTCCAGGAGGGGAGGAAAATACGAAGAGCGTGAGGGTTTAAAAATTCTGCTCCTCAGGTAGCGGGTTCAGCTCGCAGGGTTTGGTCCCCCCCCAGGATTCCCTTCTCAGTCCACGTGGAAGCAAAGAGAATAATTGAACTGAAGCCGTTGAAAAGAAAGGCGGTCCGGGTCCTGCCTTGAAAGATGGGCGTTTTTCCTCCCCGTTTTTTTTTAAACGGGATCCTTTTTAGCTGAATCAGGAGAGAGACGTTGAGTCTCCTCCGCTCGCTCTGACTCCCTCTGACAAACCCAGGTTTGAGAGGGATGTGGCCGAAGGACTATTCAAAAAAGGATAGCCTTTTTTGTCAGCTGAAGAGAAAGTTAAATATGCAAAAAAGATGGCGGGTGAGGAACAGGCGGTCCAAAGAAATCTAAAAAAAAAAAAGCAAGGTGGACGTGACGCAAGGCCGCTGTTCCGCGAAGACACATTTTTATTGTTTGGTTTTCAAAGAAGAGATCTTCTAAAGGAGGGTTTTTTTTTTCAACCTTGTCAGCTTTAAAACGACCGGACTTCGACTCCCGGAATTCCCCGGCCACTCTCAGAATTTTCCCAGGCAACCTAGAACTAAGGAGAAACTTCCTGACAGTTAGAACAATTAACCAGTGGCACAACCTGCCTCCAGAAGCGGTGAATGCTCCAACACTGGAAGTTTTTAAGAAGAGACTGGACAGCCATTTGTCCAAAATGGTATAGGGTTTCCTGCCTGAGCAGGGGGTTGGACTAGATGACCTCCAAGGTCCCTTCCAACTTTACTTACTACTATTATTATTATAACTCAGGATTCCCCAGCCATTCTAGGAGTTGAAGTCCACCCGTTTGAAAGCTGCCAAGTTTGAAAAGCCCTGAAGCGATGCTGCCAAAATCACGAACCCCATAATGGATAAGTGTGGATGCATGAATAGCCAGGACCGCGTTAGATTTTCAGCATGCTTTTTTAAAAAAAAAAAAACACAAAAACAAAACTGTCATCTCTAAAGCAGCATAGGAATTGAGGCATGTTATGGCCAGTTTTATTTTTAGTGGGGAATTGGTGTGTTTGTCTACAGCTGCAGAACGTCGTAACGATCAAACCGATTTAAGACTGCCGTCTTATGCAGGTTTAACGAAAGACAGACCGACCCTTGCAGGAACCTGAGAAAAAGAGGGATAAATGCTGTGTTATGTTTTCTAGCCAGACATTAAACCCCTCAAATGCCGGTGAGATTTCCAATGCGACACGGGCACAATTCTGGCGCAGGAAAACTTCTGCAATGGAAACAGAATCCCCTCTGTTTGCTTGTCTGAGGCGTCGCTTGTTTGAGGAGTTGCTTGTCTGAGGAAAAAAAATGCCAGGGAAGGCTGGCTTTATTTATTTATGATTTTTAAAATCCCGCCCCTATTATTATTATTTTTTTTACAAATGCATACACACTCCTTCCTCCTCCTTTTTTCCCTACAACAATAACAACAGCTTTGTGAGGTGGGTTGGGCTGAAAGAAAGGGAATGGCCCACGGTCACTCAAGACGGATTTTGATTGTGGCTAAGGTGGAACCACAGCCCAGCACTTTGTATAAACAGAGGCCTAGAATCAAAATCACGTGAAGTATTAATACCGCTTTATAAATCCTTAGTAAGGCCGCACCTGGAATACTGCATCCAGTTTTGGTCACCACATTACAAAAAAAAAAAAAGATGTTGAGACTTTTGGAAAAGTGCAGAGAAGATCAACTAAGACCAGGGGTAGGCAACCTTGGCTCTTTTATGACTTGTGGACTTCAACCCCCAGAATTCCTGAGCCAGCATGTCTCAGCTTGGAAACTCTCCTTTTTCCCTCAGCATGGCTGGCTCAGGAATTCTGGGAGTTGAAGTCCACGGGTCATAAAAGAGCCAAGGTTGCCTACCCCTGACAAAGACCATTAAGGGGCTGGAGATTAAAATATATGAAGAACGGTTGCAGGAATTGGATATGGCTAATCTAGAGAAAAGAAGGACCAGGCGGGACACGACAGCAGTATTCCAGTATTTGAGGAGCTGACACAAAGAGGAGGGGGTCAACATATTCTCCAAAGCACCAGAAGACAGGACAAGAAACGATGGATGGAAACTAACCAAGGAGAGAAGCAACCTAGAACTAAGGAGAAACTTCCTGACAGAACGATTAACCAGGGGAACAAGCTTTGCCTTCAGAAGTTGTGGGTGTTTCATCACTGGACATTTTTAAGAAAAGACTGGACAGCCCATTGTCTGAAATGGTATAGGGTCTCCTGTTTGAGCAGGGGGTTGGACTAGAAGACCTCAAAGGTCCCTTCCGGTTCTATTCTGATTGATACTTTGATTCCCTTGAATATTGCAAGTTAATTTCAAGTAAAAAGTTTCTAGCCTGGTGCCTTCACAACTACACCAAACTGGCTATTGTTGTGCATGTAGACAATAAGAGTCACCATCTTATTGAGTCGAGACGGCACCAGGAGTCCATTTCAAACAATTACGAAAATGCCCCAATTTTGCAAGCTAGATCTTGCCGGTCGGTGGCTTAACGACTCAAATGCAGTTGCTTTAACGGGAATAACCTGCCAAACGGTGCCTGTCTCACGCAGTTGCTAAATTTGACAGTCCCCTCTGGAGCGCTCAAACTAGAATGTCGGAATCTCATGGAATCTGGTGTAGAGATCTGAGGCCGGACCAGATTTGAACACGAGAGGAGTCCTCGGCGCTCTCTGAGCTTGGTTGTTTTCTTGCAGGCGTTTCATTACCCAAACTTCTTGTTGTTAGTTGCGAAGTCGTGTCTGATCCATCACAACCCCATGGACAACGTTCCTCCAGGTCTTCCTGTCCTTTACCATCTTCTGGAGTCCATTTAAGGTCACACCTACTGCTTCAGTGACTCCATCCAGCCACCTCATTCTCTGTCGTCCCCTTCTTCTATTGCCCTCCATCTTTCCCAGCATTAGGCTCTTCTCCAGTGAGTCCTTCCTTCTCATTAGGTGGCCAAAGGACTTGAGTTTCAGCTTCAGGATCTGGCCTTCTCAAGAGCAGTCGGGGTTGATCTCCTCTAGGACTGACCGGTTTGATCGCCTTGCAGTTCAGGGGACTCGCAGGAGTCTTCTCCAGCACCATAGTTCAAAGGCCTCAATTCTTTGGCACTCAGCTTTTTCTATGGTCCAACTTTCACAGCCATACATTGCAACAGGGAACACCAAACTAGGTAACATCATCAGTGCTAGCAGCCCTTTAATATTCTCCTTTATAAGATGAATAATTCCTAAAGAGGGTTGTTTTTAAAACGGGCCTTCCATGTGGGTAGGGACCCCTATTTTGGGGGGCTTCCCTGTTGCATGGCGGAAGCCCTGGCTTAGAAGCAAAAGGTGTTTGGGAAACAATTCCATATATTACAGGCAGTTCTCAAGTTACGGCCGTAATGGAGCCTGCCCATTATGGCCATAAGCCATAACAGTCGTAAAACGGGCTAGTCACGCAACCTACCTGATTTTGTGATTTTTTTTTTGTTTGCAGTGGTCGTGAAGTGAACATGGCAGTTGTAAAACAAATGCAGCAGTCGCTAAGTGGACCCATTGTTTGCAGTGGTGCCAAATGGGATCACACGATGCTTCATATGCGGCCATGTTGCCAAGCTCCTCAAGCACAGTTATATGTGAGAGAGAGTGTGTGTGTGTGTGTGAAACAAACGACCAGTCGTAAGTCTCCTTTTTCAGGTAGGTCATAACTTCAGACAGTCGCTAAGCGACTGGTTGTAAGTCAAAGGATTACCTGTACTACATAGACTAAAATTGACTAAAGCTGGCTCTTAAGGCATCAGTGGCCTCTTGTGGTTAATTTTAACAACAGACAATGTTAGCGGTTTCTAAACACCAAATCAGATTTTTGGAATGGCAGATATAATCAGGTTTTTTACACAGACTGGGATTCTTGTTACGATTTTGGGCTGGCTTTTCTCCCTACGCATCGGCCATTCTGAAATAAAACTTTGGAAAGGCTTTCCCACCCAGAGCTCCCGATATATTGCTGTGGCTGATGGGTATTGAGGTGCTAAAAGATTGTGCTATACAAGTGCAGGATTGGGGTGTCATAGGACTCCTGGGCACTAATAGGGGCTGTGCGAGAATGTTACACACCAGAGATTCAGTAGGAGTTAGCGTAGACATTCTCGA